TGGTCTGCGGGAGGAGAATTGTCACGCGGGAGAGTTCCGTCGTGCCGGCCAGCCCAAACATGCGCTCCACTATCCTGCTGTTCATGCCTCTTGATGTCAATTTCGACGCCAGTTGAGACACGGAAACTGCGCGGGTGGTCATCAGCTGAGAGAAAAATACCACGAGTTGCAAATTCGGGACGACAATATTCGACAAGATTGAACGTCCGGCCATCGTGGTTACTAGCCTTCTGGTGGTATCTCTCGTGTGGGGAAACCCTTACTAAGAAAAAAAGTGGTTGTACGAGAGTCAAGTGATTCGAGCAAGGAAAGGTGTGGTGTGTTATGAATGAACTTGCAGAGTGCGCAGTAAAACGAATAACGAGAATGATTGAGTACTGAATCACGATACAATGAGAATGCCGAGGCCTAAATAGGGGAAAAGCTAGCTAGGCGGGGAGGTTGGGCGAGGATGGCTCGGTGACGGTTACGATTGGAGCGGAGGCCGACTCGGGAGTGGTTCGGTGCGACGATATAGGAAGGTCAGGTTCGTCGCGTGACCCTCGGGATTACCTCGCTAACGAGTGCCTCAGTAAGGATTTGTAAATCCTTACACTCTCCCACCTTCTAAATAAGGCAGCCTTGTACTGAAACAGACCCCACACTAGCAAGGATGCCGTAGATCTTCCCTTCAGCTGAATCCGACGGCCGAAGTGCCTTTGACAATAATTTTGAAAAAGGTTGGAATGTAGGCCGTTGATGAAGTCCAATTTAGATCTGACGGTCGACGATGAACTGCCCAAAATGAAGTAGAAGTTGGAATGTGGGCCGTAGATCGAGCAGATGTAGATCTGACGGTCGAAGACTGACGCGAAAAGAGAGGGAACCTGCTGACGCGAATTCAAACGCGATTGAGCAGGGACCGTCGATCGTGTCGGTGTGATCGCGAGCGTCCGTCGTGCTGACGCAAACTGACAAAGTCAAGAAGAAACTCGAGAAAACACCAAGGAAAGAAATAGTGCAAAGCACTTTCTTCTCCCCTCCAAGAAAACACCAAAATGTTTCCCGCAGCTGTGCCGAAGTAAACTCCAACAAGACCAGGTGTTAAGTCCCACTCAGAAAACCATTGAGCGTAGAGGTCTTGGTGAAAACGTGTCGGTGGAGGAAAACGATAACGAAATCAAGTGTGAGATGTCCATGAAGTCTCCGAGGGGGAGCCTGCTGAAGTAGACCAGGAACCGAAATGAAAATCGCCGAGTACTCGAACTGAACGTAAATTGTCCACACATCGCCGGAAATCAGGCGATATCTTCAGCAGTTGCAGCTGGCAGTTCCTGACGTGCTCAAATTAAATGCAGTTGTCGTGGTTGGGTCGAGTGGATGGATTTGTCGCTAGTAGAGTTGGAGCGGCCGTATCCCGAAATCTTCTGGCCGTGAAGTCGGGGTTGGTACGAAAATGTCGTCGGTGAAGGCGATTCGTCGTAATGTCAAATACGAGCGTCGGCGAAATTCGTTGAAGCAGTAACCGAAATCGAATGTCACTCCAAATTGATGTCGAATGCCAGTCCAGTGTCAGATGATGTCAGCACCTCCAGCGGTGTTGTCCAGACTCGCCGAGAAGTTTGTCGTAATGCGCCGAGGGCTCCTGGGCAGAGATGAAAAATTACAGCTGTCTCTCCCCCCTCCACTGTTGCTGCTGACACCTCCAGTTCGTTGTAAGTCGTTCGTACCCCTGAAAACATCCGTGTAGTTCCCGCGCTGTTGCCCCACGTAAATGTCGCGCACTTTTAACCAAACGTCGAATGCTCCTCCGAAAATGTCGGCACTCTTTGCCGTAAAACCAGTAAGTCCCCACGTAAAAACTCCGAAATAGTCGCTCGAATCAAGCCCCGTAAACCCGCAGTTGCAGGTGCAGTTCTCCTCCGAAAATCTCGGACGTGCTATAGCCGCCCACTCGGTCACCATCAGTTTCCGTCGGCTACCCGACCCCAGCATGTGGGTTCAATCGAGAACCGGGGACTGCCCTGGGTTATTCCGAGACCGAATTTCACGGAACCTAGAGGCATCAACGCATTTGACTCCGTAGTCGAAACTGCTCCCGCCGATGCTGTTTAACAAAACCCCACGTTTCTCCCACCAGCGCTTTGCAGATGTTTCACCGCATCGCTCGTCGCCGGTCGATAAGTTCCCGAAGCTACGACTGCTCCCACGCTCCCTTTTTTCTGAAGAATTTCCCGAGGTGTGCGATTAAACACAGGGGGTCCTAGGCATCCTTGCCGCTGTGTTTCTTGCCAGGCAACTTCGAAAAGTGCCCTTCAGGCAAAGTCCCCCAACGACTCAACCGCACTCCAAGAAGCGAAGAAATACCCGCAGCTTCAAAGTTTTTTTGGTCGTTTCACCCCCCGACAATTCCGCTTCCCGCCGTTCACCCAGCGTCCGCATTTTTTGGATGGGGTATAGTCGGTGCTGCCCGCGTGAACCCAGCCACGGTGGAGGGGCAAAAACTATCGGAGTCGGGGACCCTTAATTAAAAGGAACAGTCGCCCAACCGTTTTGCAGCCCACCGCGACCATCACGCCACTAAACTCCACAGCATCCCGGTCCTCGCTTCGCCGCTGCGTCGTCACCTCATGTAGACGCCCGGGTCAGGAGAAACCAGCGAACTGCACCATTGTTGTCATGCGGCGCCCCGATTTTTTCGCGTGCTGTTTCACCCAGCCCGCTTTTGTCGGAGTAGAACAAAGCCACAACTCCACCTTTTTTTGTTTTTTCTGTACAGCTGTTGAACGAGCACCAATCCAGGTGCCTTTAACCAGCACAGGGTAGGCCCGTGTTCACCCCCGTTATTCGGCCAAGTAAGTTGACTGCATGAGTCAGAACTAAAACTTGGTGGGGATGGTGAGGTTCGGGCGACGGAAGGTCACACGCCGTTCACACCGGCTTTTAACCTGCCCTTCACGCCGTTTCTCGACCCCCGCTTAGCCGTCGGGCAGTTTCTTCCCGTGTGTCCCGGCGGCCTGTACCGACTCCTCCGTAAATGTCGGGGCAGTACGTCGAACGCCGTTTAATCGTGGGTCGCTTGCAGCTGTCCCCGAAAACTACTTCTCTGGTAGGAGAAACCGCCCTCGAAACTGCCGGCCAGCTTGCAACAACTCCAGGCACGCAGCGTCGCACGAGTCGTTTTCCTAGGTTACCGGCCCCGGTTTCCCTCGTCGCCTGCGCCCCACTTCTGCTAAGTGCGATATGGCCACTCCGCTTTTCGTTGCAGCCCGTAAGTGTCGGCGGGTCCGAAAATCCCGTCTGTCCACGTGCACTCCTGCCGAAATCTTCGATGACGCGCCCGCCATGCAGTAAAAGCCGCTGCACTTCAGGTCGGGCGGGACGGCAGTTAACTCCCGCTAAGTCGGGCAGTTTAGTGTCGTCTCTCCTAGTCCACCGATATTTTCGGACGCAAACTCCATTTGCGCCTGGCGAGTTCCCCAGCCGACTTTTTCTTCAACAGAATCTCCGAAAATGTCGCCCTTTCTGACGCAGGCCCTTTGTCGCCAGCTGCCGAAGATCTTTCTGAAATCTTCGCGTAACTGTTGACTCAGGTCCGCCGACGTCAACAGCCACACACAGTGACGGCGTCGAGGCTGTTCATGCAGATGCCGACGCAGGTCCGCTGACGCCAGCTGCCACACGAATAAACCTCCGAAATCGTCGGAAATCGCAGCGGAGTGTAGTACCCCCCGGGGGGGGGGAGGCCACGGTCGATCGCGACCGTTCGAGGCAAGGATCCAGCGGTGCCGAGGAGTGCACGATAAATCCATGGCCGCGAAGAGCAACTAACCCGTTCTCCTTGCCGGCCTACGCAACTCCTAGACCCCAAGACATCATTCCTCGTCCCCCCCCCGAGGGGTACTACACTCTAAAAAGCGGGGTGAGCTAGGAAAGTAGCTCTGATACCAGGTGTTATGAATGAACTTGCAGAGTGCGCAGTAAAACGAATAACGAGAATGATTGAGTACTGAATCACGATACAATGAGAATGCCGAGGCCTAAATAGGGGAAAAGCTAGCTAGGCGGGGAGGTTGGGCGAGGATGGCTCGGTGATGGTTGCGATTGGAGCGGAGGCCAACTCGGGAGTGGTTCGGTGCGACGAAATAGGAAGGTCAGGTTCGTCGCGTGACCCTCTGGATGGCCTCGCTAACGAGTGCATCAGTAAGGATTTGTAAATCCTTACATGGTGATTGCAAAAACATGAGGTGCAGTAGCAATTTGATGAGAAAGGAAAACGAATGAGCGAGATTTTATGCTGAGCAGCGTTATCATATGTCGTCAAAGCCTGACTGTAGTGAGTGGTTGCCTGATTGAGATGGCCTTCCTGGGCTGTCCCAACTTCGAACTTGGGACAGCGAAAAGTGCACGTGGCAAGTGAAAGAGATCACGCAGGATGATGAGTTGGAGCGAGAGCGAATCTGGACGCGCGAACACCTCATATGATCAGACGGTTGGATCTGACCGACGAGAATGGAGATGCAATCGCAGATTGTAGATGGAGTCGTGCAGGCAATTTTGATCGCACACTGTAGTGGATCTCGTGAAAGGATGAGAGGAGATCGATGGAGGTTTTTCATTATGGATTAAAGCCCAAGACCCGAATTACCAAAAACGAAGGCAAACTGTGCACAGTTTGCCTCCCGCAGCCCACAGTTTTGCCCCGCGTTGACTTGCGTTGAGCAATTCAGGTCTTGGGCTTTAAGTGTGCTACAAAGTCGGGGTAATTAAGATAAGGGGTATTAGAGGAAGGTAGAAATGGTGGAACAAACACAGGGTGATGCGGAGAGAAGAGCTGGAGAAGAAGAGCAGGGCCGAAGGAAAGGTGGAAAGAGGAAAATAAGAAAGGAAGAAACTGAAGGAAGGAAACACCTAAGGACCAAAACACCACAGCAACCCGCACCACAGCGCGGGACACATCCTTTCAAGCACAATCGCTAAACGCCTATACATATGCATCGTACATATACTGCATGTCTGCCATGCTCTCAAAGCAGCCAGTAATGTGATGCCAACTGCCCTGCCCTGCACCCAAAGGGACTGGTGCGGGCATCCACCCATCGTCTGACCCTCCCAACTGCCGCACCGCGTGCTGTATAATATTCTGAGCCTGCGCTCGCTGCAGTGCCACGGAAAGTCGTGTAGTGAGTCCGGTCTCGAAAATCCGGGCTGACCCGTCATCCCCCCCCCCCAAGTCTTTACACCGCTGTGCAATCCGCCGCGCACAAAGCCCTAGAAACTGCCTCATTGGCTCGCTGAGCAACCCAAACGTCTCCACTACAAAAGCATAAAAATTTGGCGGCGGTTGTAATCCCTCTAGATACGGTGCCCAATCCCGCAACTTGTCCTGCACTCGTCTAGCTGCTGCAACACCTATTTGCACTAGGGCCCCTCGTCTAAGCCCGGTATTTCCCTGTTGCTGTGGATCTGCAATGGGGACGTCTACCAACACCATCAAATTTTTTTCTATATCGAGGCAAGTCAGGTCTGGAATGCGGGCTGGTGCCCCTATGCGGCCTATGCGTCCAGCCTGCCTTTGCTGCTGTACTGGCTGCTGCTGTGCCTGGTCCCTCTGTGCCTCCTCCCTTGTCGTCTTTGCCTCTCTATGCTCTCCCCCACCCACCTGCCTCCTCCCATCCCCTCTCCCCAACCCCAAACCCCACAGCACCCTCGCCCTATCCCCCCCTTCCATACCCTCCCCTCCTAACCCCCGCGCTCCCGCCGTCGTGTCCCCCGCCACCTCCTCTCTCCCTCTCTCCCCGAACCAGCCCGCACCCAAGGGTTGGGTCGCCCCCTGGACCCGGAGCCCGACCTGCCCTTGCTGGCCATACCGATGTTGCCCCTGCTGTCCCCTCTCCTCTACCCCACTCGCCGCCCTCTCCTACCCCTGCTGAACCTCCTGTTGCTGGCTGTGCTGTCCTCTCTCCTCTCCTCCACCAACCTGCCCCTCCTGCCATTGCTGGTCATGCTGTTGCTGTTGCTGCCGCTTTTGCTGCTGCTGTTGCTGCTGCTGCTGCTACTGCTGCTACTGCTGCTGCTGCTGCTGCTGCTGCTGCTGCTGCTGCTGCTGCTGCTGCTGCTGCTGCTGCTGCTGCTGCTGCTGCTGCTGCTGCTGCTGCTGCTGCTGCCGCTGCTGCTGCTGCTGCCGCTGCTGCTGCTGCTGCCGCCGCTGCTGCTGCTGCTGCTGTTGTTGTTGTTGTTGTTGTTGTTGTTGTTGTTGTTGTTGTTGTTGTTGTTGTTGTTGTTGTTGTTGTTGTTGTTGTTGTTGTTGTTGTTGTTGTTGTTGTTGTTGTTGTTGTTGTTGTTGTTGTTGTTGTTGTTGTTGTTGTTGTTGTTGTTGTTGTTGCTGCTGCTGCTGCTACTGTCCACTCTCCTCTCCCCCACTAGCCAGCCCCTCCTGCCCCTGCTGGCCCTGCTGCTGTTGTCCATGCTGTCCCCTCTCCTCACCCCTACGGGTCTGCCCCTGCTGCCCCTGCTGGCCTAGCTGCTGCTATTGCTGCTGCTGCTGCCGCTGCTGCTGCTGCCCCCCCCTCCTCTCCCCCACTAGCCAGCCCATCCTGCCCCTCTCGGCCCTCCTGCCCACCAGCCCCTCGACCGAGCCCACCCTGCTGCTGCTGCTGTCCCCACGGTGCCCCTGACTGTCCCGGTACCCCGTCCCCCGTCCTCGAGAGTCCCTGCAGTCGCGCTCTAGCTGCCTCCAGGTGCAGAATCAAGGTGGTGTCTTCCACCTTCATCGCGAAACCTGCCTCAGAAGCAAAGTCCCGAAGCATGTATTTCACGGTGTCGTGGATGACCGTGGCGATGCCGAAGTGGGAGCACCGCACCACGTGGTGAGGTACCGTCATGTCGTCGATCGCCTGCCCACAAGAACACCGACCTGCGAGGGCTAGTTGGGGGATAGGGAGGTCGATCTGCCACTGTACCTCTGGGATGCGCAGCGAGTCTGCGTACGGCACCGCCGTCAACCACGCGCCTGCACCTTCAACCTCTCAACCCAATTCTACTCCATATTCACACGTCTCAACCGAACCATACACCACAAAAACCTCGGGATATACGACAAATTTACACAAATATGAAAATATTAGGAAAACCAGGAAATAAATTGTCTCTGCTGTTTTCGTCTATAGTAGAAAGTGCAGATTTTGTTTTTAAATGCATCTAGGCCTGCTTGGAATGCGTAATAGATTGTATGTGATGTATTTTAGGTTCTTACTGTCCGTGTTAGTAACAGCAGAACGTTACTTCTGTCACGAATAGAGCGGACTCTTTGTGGTCAAGGCTGTCAAGAAAATTTTCATGCGTATGATGATTGGCGGAAAGAGAATGTCATCACCACCATCTATGCTGATGTGGATGTCTGGCTCCTCCTGACCACGTGCGCGCTCCAACGAGCTTTGCTCGAATCAATGTCACTGGAGCAGCTGACGTGTGCACTCCACAATCGCCACGTCACCTTTCGAGGCATGAACACTGCTGGCGCCAACGGGGAGCGGAAAACAAATATATCACCAAGCCAAGCATTCAGGTTGGGGATCAAGTTTCAAGAGCCACCACCTCGTTGCTCTCTGGTCTTTTCAAGCAAGTACCACTCGCTCGAGTCGGGTTTTAAGGTCATGATATCGCTGCTGAGTTCTCTTGGCTCGACACAGACTGGTCACCTTTCCTTGAATTAGACAAAACTCCAGAGTCGCCACCTCTCTTCTTGTACGAACCCAATCCTCATCTCCCAAGGATTCCGAGGGTGTAACAAGGGAATCTGCACACATAATCATGGCTGGACTTTCATTCAGGAAGTTTTATTGCACTTCCTTGTCTCTGCTTCTCGTGGGCTCGCTCGCTCAGCTTCCCACAACCACCCGCGCCATGCCCGTGAGCGACTTAATATCAAAGTTGAAGTCAAAGGACGTTCTGCCCGGCCTGGAGCGTTTGTTCGCGCTGGCCGGCATAAAAGACGTCTCGGGCGTGACGATACTCGTCCCGGCGGACTTCACCATCGCAGTCGCGGCTAAATACTACCCCAAGCATGACAACAGCACGCGCAAGTACAGACAGGAGATAAACGACGCGCTCAATCTTATGCTGGAAGTCAGCAACTCAACGGCAGTGCCGCAGTGGACCTATAAAATGAGCTTCTCCCCTGCTGCCGCGGTAGTATTGGCGGATATATGGAAGTTCCAAATCATGAAAGAATACATTCCGCCCTCTGTCGCGTTGCTAAAGGTGAGCCTCTGAAATGTATGTTGAAGTCCATCATGCCTGGACCGCAGTGGACCGCACTGGGCCGTGGTGGATTGCAGTGACTGACATATTTGTATTCTCACGCATCTGAAAGTTCCCTTCGCCCTCCATCGCGATGCACAAAGTGAGTCTTCTCCTTTTTATTTTTTTTTGCGAAAAATCGTCCTTCTGAGGCGCCTCAGAAATCTTTCTGAGGGAGGGTGGGTGGGAGGGAGGGATGGAGGGAGGGAGGGATGGAGGGATGGAGGGAGGGAGGGAGGGAGGGAGGGAAAGAGGGAGGGAAGGAGGGAGGGAGGGTTGGAGGGAGGGAGGGAAAGAGGGAGGGAGGGAAAGTGGGAGGGAGGGAGGGAGTGATGAGATTTTGAGAAACGTCATCACTCCGATCGTGTTTCTCCCGCGTTCTCGTTTCAGAATTCCAGTCACGCCACATCGCACGGTATTGGGGGGGATTCTTTTCCGATATTCGACGAGCTTGCCATCCCTCCTCCTGCCTCTGTCTCCGTCCTAATCGCTCTTTCATCCCTCCCCTATCCTTCTGGCAGTACTCATCTGGCGGACCATGGGAGCTTCCCACTATGCAGGGGCAGCCGCTATGGATGAGTTACACTGTGATTCCAGGCTATGATTCCAGCACTGTTCACATTCCCGATCAACCCCGTTGGAATATTTCCGGCGCGTCTCCTCAGCAGCAGCCCAGCTCGCCTCTGCCAAAATACATGAACGATGCGATGGCCGATGGGAGCCCGTTCGAATACACGTTGGTGCATGCTGGAAACATGGCGCTGGATGTTCCGGAAAGCGAGGTCGTGGTGTATCAGTTTTCATCAGTGCTTCTTCCTTATAACATGGATGCTCTTGGCGCGAACGCTGGTATGTGCACATGTACGCACGCACACAACACGGGTGTGTGCACATGGACGCACGCACACAACACGGGTATGTGCACATGTACGCACGCACACAACACGGGTGTGTGCACATGTACGCACGCACACATCACGGGTATGTGCACATGTACGCATGCACACATCACGGGTATGTGCACATGTACGCACGCACACATCACGGGTATGTGCACATGTACGCACGCACACATCACGGGTATGTGCACATGTACGCACACACACATCACGGGTATGTGCACATGTACGCACGCACACAACATGGGTATGTACACATGTACGCACGCACACATCACGGGTATGTGCACATGTACGCACGCACACATCACGGGTATGAACACATGTACGCACGCACACATCACGGGTATGTGCACATGTACGCATGCACACATCACGGGTATGTGCACATGTACGCACGCACACATCACGGGTATGTGCACATGTACGCACGCACACAACATGGGTATGTACACATGTACGCACGCACACATCACGGGTATGTACACATGTACGCACGCATACATCACGGGTATGTACACATGTACGCACGCACACATCACGGGTATGTGCGCATGTACGCACGCACACATCACATGCATGTGCACATGTACGCACACACACATCACGGGTATGTACACATGTAGCACGCACACATCATGGGTATGTACACATGTACGCACGCACACATCACGGGTTTGTACACATGTATGCACGCACACATCACGGGTATGTGCACATGTATGCACGCACACATCACAGGTACGTGCACATGTACGCACACACACATCACGGGTATGTACACATGTACGCACGCACACATCACGGGTATGTGCACATGTACGCACGCACACATCACGGGTATGTACACATGTACGCACGCACATATCACGGGTTTGTACACATGTACGCACGCACACATCACGGGTATGTGCACATGTACGCACGCACACATCACGGGTATGTGCACATGTACGCACGCACACATCACGGGTATGTGCACATGTACGCACGCACGCATCACATTGACACCCGCCCACACATGCACACTGGACGCATTTTCTTGGTCCAAACAAGCCAAAACGTGTTCTTCATACAATCATGCCACTTAAAACTTCCACACTATGCCCTAACATGTGGCTCGCTCCTTCGTTCTCCCCATCTGGAGCAGGAGGCACTGCTGCTTCCCTCTTCCACCTGCTTGCCTCCGTTGGCCTTGCCCTCTCTGCCCTCATGCTGCTGTGACCTACCACGCTAAGTTATCATGGCATATTCGTTCAGTAAGGATGTGAAATGGGCCGTTGAGCCCAGTAGGCCAGCCACTGCTTATGCCAGCCGCTGCTTTTGCTTTGTTGATAGCGAATTCACTAGATAGTTTGAATGAAGTAGATACGATAATAGATTGTATTCAAGTTGATGTCATTCTGTAGAGACTTCTTTCTGGATTGCTTTGAATTGCACTTGCATGTTGGTGCCTCTTGCCTCTTGCAGGTCGGTGCCTCTTGCCTCTTGCAGGTCGGTCCCTCTTGCCTGAATCAACCCTTTCAGAAGTTGCACACAACCTTGCCTATGCCCCCATCCATCATACTATGATACCTGGTACTTCTGACTTCACATTGACTGACTCTGCTCGGAGCAGTCAGTTGTAAGCAATAACAGACATGCTTTATGACGCAAGAATGAACTACGATAGATTGCCACTCTTACGATACCACAAAGTATCATATTCTTCCACTAGTAGCACCTTCCATCTGCACTTCCGCACACCCTACCGCACACACACCTCGCTGCAGCCCTACCCCCCACACACCTCCAATCCAAACCCGTGGTGTGGCTGCCAACAGCATGTGCAGTTACCACCAGATTTGATCGAAAAACATCTTGTCAAAATAGCAAGCACGAATGGTTGCATTGAATGAAATGTGGGTACAAGTACTAACCCTAACTTTGGGTTGTACCCCATATGGGCTACCCCACTATAGCCTACACAGAACTAACACATATATAGTTTGACACACCCCCATAGGCAAAGTGGGGGAGAACAAAGGGTCACAAGACCAGTCAAGAAAAGCAAAGCAAACCAAGCTCGGGGTGGATCACAGCGTTACCACACACTCGAGCACAAGCAAAGGGGCCACAAGGCCAGTTCACATGCAGATGTATATTTGTAATAACAATAGCACAGTGATCACTACCTAGCAAGAGTAAACATGCATGTATACATATATAGATCACAGTACAACCAGAGTCTGCAGCAAGTGAGGAAACATAGGCACCAGGCCTAGAGCAGTGCAGAAGCGCTGATGATCACCAGCCGGAAGGGCCTTGGTGAACACATCAGCAGTGTTGGTCCGGGTGGGCACGTGAGCGACACGAAGCTGACCACGCTGCTGCAACTGTAGAGCAAGGAAGTAGCGCAGAGCGATGTGCTTCGTTCTGTGCTCCAGTCTGTGGTCGTGATACAAGGCAATGGCAGCCTTGTTGTCCACGTAGAGAACTGGAGGAGAACGAGGCCTCTCTCCCAAGTCGTTCAGCAGGTAGGTAAGCCAGCGTGACTCCTGTGCAGCCATCGCTGTGGCGTAGATCTCAACCTCACAACTGGAGCTGAGAACAGAAGACGAGCGTGTAGACCACCAAGAAACAGAGCCAGAGCCAAGACTGAAGGTGTAACCCTGTGACGACCGCTGCGTAGCCAGGTCGTCAACCCAAGAAGCGTCTGAGTGCCCAGTGAGGACAACGTCGCCCCGTCCTCCAAGCACGAGCCCCATGCCCGATGTACTGCACAAGTAGCGCAGTACCCTCTTAGCAGCATCCATGTGCACCTTTCGGTGCCTACCAGGAGCCACGTAGCGAGCCAGAAAGCTAAGAGGGTACGCAAGGTCAGGACGATTGCAGGTCATCAGGTACATGAGGCAGCCCACTAGCTCTGGGTAAGGACCACTCGGTTCTACGGACTCGTCCGAAGGTGGAGTTGAGAGCGAGTGACCTGTAGCCAGAGGAGTGGCCTGTGCCGAGGACCAGGTAAAGCCGAAGCGCTGAAGGACCTGCTGCATCATGTGTGACCGAGTCAGTGTGATGGTGCGGCGTCCTCTGTACCGGGTGATCTGCAAGCCGAGGTAACTGCGCAGCTCACCCAGGTATGTGCACGTGTGTCTCTTCTGCAGCTCCAACTTCACCAAGGCGAGAGCCTCAGTGTCAGCAGTGGCAAAGACCAAGTCGTCGACGTACACGAGGATGTAGAACGGTGGCAGCGAAGTGTCGGTGCGCAGAAACAGCGACGGGTCAGCAGTCGACGGAGCAAACCCAAGAGCCACAAGTGTCGTCCTCAGTATGGCGTGCCACTCACGTCGCGCCTGGCGGAGACCGTAGACCGGCCGCCGGAGGCTCTACTGGGTACCAGGAGAGAACAACCCAGTGAAGCCAGGCGGGCGACGCAGCCAGATCTCCTCGTGCAGGCTGCTCTGTAAGAAAGTTGTGTTGAAGTCAAGAGAGTGAAGCTCGTAGTCACGCTGAGCGGCAACGTGCAGCAGCATCCGAAGAGTGGTCATCTTCGGGGTGGGGAAAAGGTCTGGAAGAAGTCAACTCCCTCTCGCTGACTGAAACCTCGAGCAACGTAACGAGCCTTGAAGACAGGCGAAGAACCTGGCGGCCGCTTCACCCTGAAAATCAACATGCCATCGACGATGTTCGCCCCAGGAGGGGGAACCTCGTCAACGTAAGTGCCTGTGGACTTCCAGGATGCCATCTCTGCGTCCATGGCTGTCTGCCACTGAGAGGAGTACTCACCCGCGATCGCCTCACCGTAAGAGCGCGGTGTCGGGATGTCTGGAGCATCCGGGTCTCCCTCAGGGGCAAGTAGCATGGCCACGAGATGAGGCACAACGGCTGCAAGACACTCAAGGTCCTCCTGCCTGTCCTCAAGGACGTCCGTGCTAAGAGCACACTCACCCCCGACGGACGGAGGACAGACAGACTCAAACTCAGCAACAAGACTAGCGACGTAGTCTAGACGACAGGCAGCAGCAAAGCCAACAAACTCAGCAACGAAGGCAGACGAAGCAGCAGACTCAAACGACGGGTCAGTGACAACAGTGGCTAGCAGACGTGTGACAGTAGGGTGCTCAGCACGAAACCGGTCAGACTCAGGGTCAGCAACGACAGGCAGAGAAAACGCAGGAGGAGACGGCAGAGGAAACGCTGCGAAGTAGAGGACGGAAACAGAGCCATGAGGTGTGTGCCGGGGACAGCCGGCGGACGCGGACGAGGAACACGATGACCAGTGCGGACAGGCGAGACAGGACGCGACGCAGGCTCACGACGCTTAGCAAGACCTCCTGGCTGCTCAGTGTAAGGAGGAGCAGGTGGCGGTGAGCCAGGCTATAACAGAAGACCAGTAGACGACGGGAGGCTAAGAACCTGGTGAAGCACAGAGTCAGTCGGTGGCAAAGACGACGGAGACGGCGGAGCAAAGAACAGTGGTGGCTGCGCAGCGCCACCAGCACCAGTAGCTCCAGCACCACTAGCAGCTCTAGAACCTCTAGCTCCAGCGACTCCAGCAGCAGCAACTCCAGCTCCAGCGCCTCCTCCAGCAGTACCTCCAGCTCCAGGGACTCCAGCAGTAGTACCTCCAGCTCCAGTAGCTCCAGAACCTCCAGCTCCAGTGCCACTTGTAGCAGCACCCCCAGAACTGACACCTCCACCCTCACGGTCCCCAACTCCAGGGTCGACAGGACCAGCGCCAGGGCCTCCAGCAGCAGCACCCCCAGAAACGGCACCTCCAGCTCTAGGGTTGCCAACTCCAGGGTCGACAGCACCAGCTCCAGGGCCTCCAGCCCCAGTACCTCCAGCAGCAGCACCCCCAGAGCTGACACCTCTAGCTCCAGGAGCAGGTGCACTCCCAGCAGCTCCAGTACCTCCAGTACGAGCACCTCTAGGACCAGAGACACCAGCACTCCTAGCGCCTCCACGACAAGCAGCTCCAGCAGCACGACTCCGCAGGCGGGTACGTGACGCAAGCCACTCTCGTGCCTGCTGTGGTGAGACAGGCCCACGTCGTGAAACGAGACCCAAAGGAACGCCAGCAGACTCAGCACCCCCAGGCTCCGCACCCCCCGGCACCTCACGGACGGGCTCAGCACCCCCAGACTCTGCAGCCGCAGGCTCAGCACCCCCAGGCTCCGCACTCCCCAGCACCTCACGCGCAGGCTGAGCACCCTCAGAAGCAGCACCCACAGCAGTACCTCCCGCAGCAGCACCTGAGTCGCTAGTGACCTCTACTGGCTCAGCCAGGGGGGGCGGGTCTACCTGAGACACACCTGAAGGAGCAGGAACATGAGGCGGGAGGGGGTCTACCGGAGGGGGACCTGGAGCGAGGAAAAGCGGCAGGGGAGGGAAAGGGGCAGTGCGGTAGGGGAAGAGACGGTAGAAAGGAACCGACTCGTCAAAGGTGACGTCCTGAGAGGGGAAGACACGGCGCGAGGTGGGGTGGTAAAACTGCCAGCCACACGAGTCAGGGACAAAGCCAAGGAAGACACAGGGAATGGTGCGGGAGGAGTGCTTGTCCGCAGACGTATCGCAGACAAGGGCACGAGCACCCCAGACCCGGAAACGCGACGCATCGCCAACCTCCCCCGTCCAACGCAGTGTGGGCGAGGTCTCCGGTAAGGAGACACAGGGCCTGAGGTTGAGCTGCTGCTCGGTGTACCGGACCGTTAACGGCCACAGAAAATGGGGAGCCGCCGCATGAATCAAGGAGGTACGAGCGACCTCCATGACTAAGCCAATGTGGCGCTCAGAAACCCCATTTTGCTGTGGTGAGCCCGGAAGCGTGAACGACTGCTTGATGCCCTCCCCCTGACAGAAGGCCCGCAAGAGGTCGGAGGTGAACTCACCACCTCTGTTAGAGTGCAGACGCAGGACAGGAAGGTCCAGGCGGAACCTGCGACGGAGCCGGAGACGAACTGCTTGGATCCAAGGGATCAGGACAGCAGGGACCTCACCTTTGGTGGGCAAGGGGAAGATTGTGGTGTACCGCGAGTAGTCGTCGACAACCAGCAGAAACCACCGCTCACCGTCCTGTCCACGAACGCGGGCTGGGCCCCACACGTCCAAGTGGAGGGTCTGCAGAGGAGCCCCTATCGGGGGAAACGAGGAGAAGTGAGGAGCGGTGCGCTGCCGCCCCTCAACGCAAGGAAGGCAGGGCGGCGCAGGCGAGGCAGGGAGGGGAGGGAGAGACCTGGGAAGAC